TGCGTGAACGGTGGGACTTTGCTGTCTGTGTCTCCCAGCAGATGTCTGGGTAGTTTAGGTCCTCCATGACTACCGCCTCCTTAGTTTTTATGGTCTCTGAGAGCTGCCTCAGGAGCCCCGAATCTAGTTCTTCCCTTTGGTGTGGGGGTCTGTAGCAGACACCTACCACCAAATCCCTTTCTCCTTGCCCCCCATGTAACTTAACCCACAATCCTTCTACTTCCTCCTCCTTCGATTCCGTCTTGATGAGCGCTTCTCCCCAGATGAAGCACTGCATTTATCCTTATTGAACTGCATCTGGTTCTGCTCTGCCCACTTTTCCAGCTTGTCCAGGTCCACTTGGATCTATGTCCTATCCCCTAGAGTGACCACTTTTCCCTGTAACTTAGTATCGTCCACAAACTTGGCTAGCACGCTTTCCACATCCTCTTCTAAATCATTGATAAAGATGCTGAACAGCATGGGAACAAGAACCAAACCCTGTGGGACACCACTGGCCACCTCCCGCCAAGACGATACAGACCTGTCCACTAACAGTCTGGGTTCAACCCCTTAGCCAGTTCCCAACCCAGCAGACCATGGACTCTGTCAGCCCACAATCTCCCAGTTTTTTTTTATAAGAGCGTCATGGGAGACCATATTGAAGGCCTTTTTTTTAAATCCAAGTATATTGACAGAAAAAGAAACTGTTGAGTTAGGTAGCGGCACCTTCAGCTCTAATTTCTGTGGTAAAGGAATGGGTTAAAATTAACATTGTCTTTATTATTTGTAGTACAGTAATGCCCAGAGACCTTAATTGGGTTGAGGCTGCATTGTGCTGGATGCTGTAGGTAGATGCAGTAAAAGAAATGTCTCCTGTAAAGACTGATTAAGAGAAGAGTGTACAAAGTTAAGAAGAGTGGGGGTTAGCAACTAATGGAGTAGAGAGAAGGAAAGGACTGTGGTCACAGTAACTCGGAGTTGCATAGGTTAGCTACATGTCTACTGGCTTACCCAAGTGACCTACTGCAGATAAGTAAGGAGATAAAACATCTGAGAGATTCCTATTTTTCTGTCCAGCTTTTCATTTGCCCAAATAAAATTGTGTATTCTTAATAACAAATGAATGCTTGTGTTTATTACAGAAATCCAAGTAAGGTGATACAATACACGTTTTGCTAAAGCTTTAATGAAAATTAACTTTAGGGGTGCAGGAAGGAATAGCAATGAAAGAAGAATTTCTCACTGTGTCAGAAGTTTACATGAGTTCAGAAAATGCCAATGGCCTAGTTCTCCTCTCCTTACTTAGGTGGTATCATTTCAGTCAGTAGTTTTCCTCACCTGACTGCTGGCAAGGTATATAAGGACTCCAGAATGTAATAGCAAATGCAGACTTAACTCTGCATCTAAATGAATTTCTTTTACTTGCAGGTGTACAACACTTACTCATCCCAAATGTGTTGCTGCCATTCGACAAACCAGTTTTAGCAGGGATAGCAGTATCCTTATAGCTGTGTGTGATGATGCCAGTATCTGGCGCTGGGACAGACTACGATAAGTCAGTTTTTCCTAAAATTTAGAAAATATATTGTCAGGTTACAATATAATCTGTTAACTTGCTAGATCTGTAGTTGCATTTAAAATAGTCTTTCTCCCTCCCATGTTCAGTTGGGTGGAGCTGAACTTAGAGATGTTTACATTCTTTGTACTGTGTTCTGCTCAGAGTCTGTTGCTTTTAATAAAAAACAAATATTTTTGTAAAGCTTTCTGTGTCAGTGACTTCAATTATTGACTTGAAGCTAATCTGTTAATATCCTCTGATATATAAAGTTGTTTTGTATCTAGCTGGTATATACCACATATGTGGTAACCTTTTGCTAGAAATTTTAGCAGCATAAGATTACAGGCTTATGTAGATTTTTGTTTAAAAAAGCAGGTTATATTTCCAAGGGACTACATTAAGGTATAATTACACATGGAAATGTAAAATACGTTAAATTCTGCTAAAAATATTTTGAACGCATTCCTTTCTCTATATTGCTTACACATTTAATTGTTAAAACCCAGTGGTTTTTAAAACCTGCCTGTACTTTTCACCGTTTATACTGGGTTTTTTTGAATGAGGCATTTCAGTTGGCTGGATAGTAGGAGAAAAAGATAAACTATTTCAGTCTTGTGATTCTGGTGAACTAACTCAATGTTGCAGTGTTCAGATTTTGCAGTGAAATATTTTAATACAAATTGTTGCTGGCAATTTTAAAGGCATGTATTAGAATTTTTTGGTAAAATGTTCTCCTTCTGACCTCCTCCTGCATAAAAATAATAAAAATTGCAAGCTTTCTTCGTGATGGTGTCCCTTCAAAGGTTCAGTTTCTGTGAAAGCAAATCAAGCATATTTACTTTGAAAATAGTAATTTCTAACATACAGTATGGTATTTAGAAAGGTATATACCTAATTGAGAATGAAAAGAGAATATTGACCAAGATATTAGCCATGTTATTACCAGTGGTAACTTTTTCCCAAATCACATTTGTCCATATTCCACTTTTGGCGCTGTACAGTTCAAAGCCATTAGTGTTTATCTCATACTAATGATCAAAGATGATGCAAAATAGTCAACCAAGTACTCTGAATAAAAAGATATTAATCATAATTGCTGTCAGAACCATTTTTCTAAATTTGTTCTCTCTCAACCTTTTCTCCTTAGCCACCCCTGAAATGTATACAACTGAAGAAGGAGGTATGGGGGTTTAGTATAAGCATAAATACAAGCATGCCATCCTTGGCCGGCAGCATTTTTTGATCTAACTAGCTAGGTCAAAATTTGTCCTTTATTCAATGTTTGTCTTCTTTTCTGCATGAAGAGAAGCCATGTCATTTATTTTACGCCAGGGGTTCTCAATCCCTGGCTGTGGTCTAGTTCCTGGAAGTGGCTGCAGCCCAGCAAACCACGGCCCCCCCCAGAGCCAGGTGGAGAGGCCGCAGCTCCTTCTGCAGGGCCCGTGGCAGTGCAGGGTTTGGCCCACCCCACGGCCCAGGGGGTCGGGCTATCCTTACCTGTCTTCTGGCTGGAAATCCCAGCTGCGGTTTGCCGGGACACAGCCACTTCCGGGCCGTGGTTTGCTGGGCCGCAGCATAAAAACTTTGGGAACCCCTGTTTTACACAATCCTGAAAAGTTTCAGATACTTTTCTTTTTACACATTCCACCTGTCTAGTGAGTAATGACTAAACTAAGAAAATTCTGAAATGTTTCTTCTGAAGCTGTCTTCTAATTTTCACAGGCACCAAAGAAGAACAGATCTAGGACTTGGAAACTAGAGAACAAAATGTTCAGTATCCAAATTTCTGTGTATCCTAACTAGTTGTATGGCTGAAACCTGAGAAATATTAAATTGTTTATAGAATATTAAATTGACAATTGCAAATAGTGATGGCAAAATAATTTTTCATTAGGCAGGGTTATGTGAAATACAAGTAAGGCAAAGACTTTTGTTACTGAAAGCTTAGAATTACGATAAAGGGACGGGAAAAATAGTGGAAGTTTTAGATATAACATGGCCTATTTGCTGGATGGCAGTGATGGGTAGTGGTTGTATAAGAGAATTTGTATTTGTTAACATGTACTGGAATCCAAGTAATTTAAATAATAGAGACAGAACGAAGTAAGAAAGGGTAGTGACTTGCAATTGGAGTCTCTGATTTGAAGTGCTTTCTGGCAGTTTATCAGATTTTACTTACCAGTGTTTGAACTGCCTGAGATTTAACTGTGCTATTTAAGGTGCTGTATTGCTTATTGTGATTTGTTGTTCTTTGAATTTACCATAACCACACCTAATTTTTAACGTAGCCTTAAAAATATTTTTTCAAGAGTCTTTAAATTTGTTGTTCTTGTGGCTTTCAGGGCTCAAAAAATAAAGTTATTTTGCTTTTTGTTTTGTTTTTTATCTGAGCTAATTCTAACCAAACCACGTAAAGATAGATGGCGTAAGTACTTAATTAAAATAAAAGGGGAAAATAATGCAATTGGCTACCGAAACTACATTGCCAATGCAAGTCTGTCAGGGTTCAATATTGAATTTAGCTGTGTTCTGGACCATTTCTGGTTTGTACTGCGTGCTTTTTGCTGAGAGATGCCTAGCAAGCTAGCCATTGTAGCTCTTTTGCAACAAGAGTTCAATAGGAGCTTGACAGGATAGAGCAATTTTTAAGAAAATAGTTATTTCCTCTGCTTCATGGGTATTTCTGTAATCCATGAGAGAGAGAACTTTTCAGTGTTATCTATGATGAACTTAAGTAATAGTACACATGCTAAAAAAATCATGGCAAAAACTTTAAAAAATTGTAAGTGGGCCCCATTCTCCTCAACACTACTAGCCTGTGCAGGGGAACCTTTGGTTTTGTGCTGGGCTTCCTGTAAACTTTGGGTTTGGAGCACGGTGGAGGCACCGGGGCTGGCACCGGACACTTGCCAGCAGTAAGCTCCTCACTCCTCTGCTCCATTCCTCACTGGGCAGGGTGGCTCCTTCCCAAGCACGGGTTTCGCCGGCTCTGGGGAACTGCTCTGCTCCCCAGCCCTTTTGGGCATGCTCCTGTATAAAGTGGAGTCCTTCACTGTGGGCGTATGCATATGAGAAGTGTGTGCAAATTCCTACTAAGGAATATGCTATAACACAATAGCATCTCAATAAAGTATTTAGTATACGGTCTGACTCTTTTGGAGCCACTGCTTCCTTGTAGCGAGAGAAGAGAGGCCAAGCAGCAACTGAAGGCAAAACCTAGCTATTCAGTGAACAGAAGAAACTTGGGAAGCAACAATCCTTAAGGAGATTTAGGGGTAAGAGTGGATAGATAGCAAGTTAAGTAGGAGTTTACAGTGTAACCTGGCAGTAGGCTACTGTCATGCTGGGATACAATGCGTCTTCGCTGTGTAAGCTAGCTATTGAGCTTCAGTTAGTTACCTGCTTTCACAACACTGTGCTTGGTCTCCCTGCAGTTTATGGGCATATACAGGGCACCAATTTGGCGAAATTGCATCTGGTTTGGGCACTAGCTTGGTTAAAGTGGGCATGATTCTACCATGCAACATACAGTGTTGCTTTTTCTATCATTCTAGGAAGGCCCATATCTTTGCTGCAGCCTCTGTAAAAGGATCATCTTTATATTCATTGTATGCAGACCCATCCCCTTAGTAAGGGGCCCTTACTGCATCTTCTAAGTTAAATCCTCGAATTTTACAATGTTATACTGTGCAAACAAGCGGCACGTACCGGAATTTGGAAACGGACTGAAGCAGCGTGCTCATGGACCAAAGTGGCGTGCTCGTGAATCGCTACACCTTAGAGGGAACATTGGGTACGGGAGGCTGGGGCCAGCAACTGTGCTGGCCCCAGCAGCCTTACCTGGGGGCTTTGGGGAGCTGCAGCTGGGAGCCTGTCCAGCCAAGCTCTGGTTTTGGGTGGTGAGTACTGTTGCTATGTGCACCACCCTGCTTTTTTTTTTTGGCATGGGTTTGTCTGACCCTGGGATCTCCCAGGGTTGAAAAATCCCTGGTGCTGCAAAATAGGACAGTGGATGCCTGCATATGCAGTGGGCACTGCTGCATGTGGGTCTGTGGCCATGCTGGTCTGCATGCTGCCTTGGAGCTGTATTTTTGTTTCTTGGTCGATTTTAGTTTTGTTTTTGTGCTTAGCTGAACAGGTTCAGCTGTTTGCTTCCAGGAAAAAGAAAAAGGGCAATGCATGTCATTTAATAAATCAATCAATCATTGCAGAAACTTTAAAAATTCTGAAGTGGGCCCCATTCTCCTCAACATCGCTAGACTGTGCAGGGGAACCTTTGGTTTTGTGCTAGGGCAATTCCTTATTTCAGGATACTGGTGATATAAGCGGGAGAAAGATGGAAACCTTTTAAGAAGCTCTGGCATCTCCAGGTGCTGGGGCTAGGGGCTTACAGTTGTGGAGGGAGCTGCTTTTGGCAGAGGCACATCTTTTGTTTTCCACCTGAAAATCTTCCCAAATTTGGCTCGGGTACAAGCCCATGAAAGGGTAGCAGTTTCTGCCTACTATGTAGCAACATTTTTTTTAAAAACAGCTCCAAGTACCAAAGCTTGTCTTTTCACTCAGGGGTATATATAACCTGGTACTTCTCAACCTTTTAGATTGGGAGCACCCTCTAAAAATAACAGCTCTTTAGTTTTCATTTGTTTTTTGACTACAAAAAAAAATAAGAATAGAGCAATTTGGTTGCAAAGAACAGTGAAGGGCTGCAGCAGGTCAGCATTAACAGGACCCATTCCTGTTTGAAATCTGTGGGTTGATCTTTTGAAGCATGTTTGCACACCTAAGGACACCCTCCCATCCTCAAATGCTCACAGCACCCTGTTTTTCTGCAGATCTAGACCAGCATTTCTCAACCCTGGCATCACAAGAATAGGAGAAAGGGTTGCACAGACTTTAAAAATGGATTCTCCTTTACAGGAGGAAAAAATCTGGGAAGCTGTGGCTTTACCCGTGCAGGCTGACAGCGCTCCAGCCTACCACCTGCTGCTTGGGGCCCCCAACCCTGGGGGGTGGGGGAAGGGGGCACGGGTCAGGAGTGAAGGGCAATAAGAGGGCCAGGGGGTTGTTTCTACCTAAACTACTGGGTTGGTACTGGGATTGCCAACTCTGACAGAAGCTATTCCAGATTCCCCCTCAACAACTAATGTCATTAATTGAATTCATTTTCTTAAAACACCCTATTCTGAACTGCTTTCATCAGTCCCCAGGAG